TTCTTTGTTTTTTTCTTTGGATATAAGCAGTGGGTAATGGATTGATGGTTGGATGATAAGCTTTTGGTCAGAAGACTTAGTGGCTCTTGTCTGACCCCTACAGTTCTCCTGACAGCAGAGAGCCAGAGACTTTGAGCACCAATCAAAGAAGCTGCTACTAGTTCAAGGAAAGCATATAAAACATTAAAAAGATTTCTAATATTTCTAATATATATACACATATATATACAGTATATATATTTAATTTGATTACAGGTGAGCAAAGATATCTAAAGGTAAACACTCCATACATCCGTCAGCCAATTTAAAATGATAAATATCAGAGACTTCTTATATCTATTTAATCCCTATTTGATTTTATTTTATTCCCTGTCTTATTGCTATTCCCGTATATTTGTATGTATTTTTCACATAATTGTAAATATACTTGGATGTATTCATGAATGTGCTGCTGGAACAAGTAAATCTCCCCTCTGTGAGATTAATAAAAGACTAATGTGTCCAAGAGTGGACTTTAAGTTTGTATAAACAGGATATAAACAGCCGTTTTTAATAAAACCATTGTATAATATCGCCCAATCCCTGTCAACAAATCTGTGGGACGCTAAAATGTTGATCTTGACGTCATTGTGATAATTTCAACAGTCTTTGAAGGCAGCAGTACTAATGCGCATGCGCGTTTCTGACGTCAGAGTTGTTGTTAGATTTCAAAATAAGCGGGAAGGAAGCAGCACGAGCGTTCAGGAGAAAGCTTTAAGCTAAGTACGTAGTAAACTTTCCTTAAAACTTATTCTGTTCGGTAACAAAAGTAACCGACGTGGGTCTTTTAATGAGTTGTTTGAGCCTAAACGTGGGTTTATGACATTACGACGTTATTCGGAGCTCGTCATTAAACTTCACATAAACATAAACAAATGTTTTCAATTCTTACATATTTTTCAGATATACGGCGTTAAAGATTAGTTTCCTTTTTCAGGCGTTAACTGTTAAAGGTTGGTTTGTTGGAATGCAAAAAAGAGGAAAAGCAGAAGAAAAACACAAGGTGTACGAAAAAAATTCAATTAACTTATTTTACCCTTGGACATTATATCAGTGAACAGTATAAATATTTGGTATCTAAGTCCAACTGTTGAGTATTTCCTCAGTTAATCAGATATGTGTGTTAAGTTCAGTTAATTTGGTAGTTCATATAGTTATATTTGATTTAATTCACGACTACATCTTTAAGATATTTAGTTCAATCTGCTTTTCCTTAGTTAATATTCTCATTGGTTTGTTTTTATTCATGTGACAAAAACAAGAAAGTAGGTGTGTTCACCTGTCTCCATCCTTTCGGTTCTCCTTCTGTAGAGTGATCCAGACACCATTTGTTCGAACCCTCACGCTACATGTGCATTTATTGCTTTTTTTTCATAAACTTTGCTGTATTGACTTTAAGATTTAGTAATTCTACTTTGTTTTTCTATTTCAGGAAAATGAGTGACCTCGAAGACATCAGCCAACACATTCACGATAAAATATCCTCCTTACAACACATGCTGGATCTGTCAGTTATTGGTATGATACACCAATGCTGGGTATGAAACCCTGCAGACAAAATATCCATCCATACACACATTTACACAAATGTACATATATATATACTTTTTCACATACATACAAATATATCTATGGATATACAGTTTGATTACAAGCTTCAATTAAAATAATACAACTATATTTAGGTCAGCAAACCTCCAACAACTCATTAAAAGGGCCATGTTTGTTTAGTTTTGTCAGAATATTGGGGATATAATTTCACAGCATTCCTGATCTGAACCGAAGAAGTTTTAAGAAAAGTTTGCACACTCATCTTAGAAGGTTTTTCCTTAATGTGTTGCTTACCCTTGAAGACCCAGCTATCACCACTTTTTCTTCTAACAGTGTCAGACCAGTGATTTTCTTCTATTTAGCTCATTGTCAGGTTGAAGCTTACTCTAATGTTGTGTCTGGATTGTGAGTTTCTTTGGATAAAAGGGTCTAAATGCAGAAACATATCATAAAGCCTTGTTTCCAGTATTATTTTGAAGCCCAAACAAACGTTAGATGGAAATCCAAGTTGAATAGATGGTCAACTACTGCCTGTGAACAAAGAAATGTCTGTCATGCTTATGGACATAACTTGAAACACAAATATCCCCCAAAACTACAGATTCTTGCGCCAACCTTCCTTCAGTCCTGTCCTGCAAAACTAAAGTGGACAGTCAAATAAGATATGTCTCTTTTTCTATACGTCTAGATTTGCCTCAACACAAGATAAAGAAACTGGGACAAGAACTATTTTCTCTTGAGAAACTTCTGGAGGACTTGGAGACATGTGTGGATCAACAGAAAAAACAACTCAACCAGCTGAAGGTAAAGAGTTTGGGGGAACATCGGTGCCTCCTGGAGCTCATCTACAACATCTACATTCATAATAATAATAATTTTGAGTCTTATTTGACTTCTTATTTGTATAGTTGATCTTGTTGATACATGGATTCTTATTCTCAACAGACATACAAACAGTGGAAAGAACTGGTAAAAATCACAATCTTTGGTTTACTGGAAAACTGCTTTATATTCCACAAATTAAGTTTAGAATCCATTAACGGGACCAAAGTAGACAAAATAAAATGTCTTCATGCAGGAATATAGATTTAAGGAACACTGTGAGCAAAGCCTGTGGCAGCTCTGTCAGAGTTAGATCTGCTGACTACAGACTTTGGTCGGCTTTTTAAATGGAGTTTAACCTGTGCTTCTGGATAGGTGTGTGAGTACTAATGATCACTCTGATGAAAGTCCAAAGTTCAATGTCGAGTTTGAGCATAAAAACCGTTTTATGAACCTCAACCGACATCTTAGAGATCTGGCAATACGTAAAAAATGCCGGCAGCAAGGAGACACAGGACACAAAGAATCTAATGACTTCAGATACCTCACATATATGATTTAAAAAGCCCAAACAGAAACAGTAAAAAGAAACAGAATAATAATAAAAAAATAAAGGAAGTAAGGGCCAGAACAGGAGACTTGGCTGGAGACAACATGGCTGCCTGCATGGACAAACTGAGGGTCAATTGATAGTAGGATCTGACAAGAAATTAATAACGTACAGAAGCTTATATAGAGGGGGGGTGATAAGTGGAGCACGGGTGAAGGGAATAGAGCTAATTACAAACAGGAAGAAACTGAAAGAAGGGAAGATGAAGACTGGAATAAAAAACATAGAACTAACCAAACTACAAGGCTGAACTCAGAAAGCCAAGATAAACCAAAACCACGGGATAAACCCAGAAACAAAGTCCAAACGTTTTTAAAAATTGACTGACTATGATGAGTGGATTTAAACTGTCAAAGGGGAGTTAAAAAAATGACTTAAAATCTAATATCAATAGTAAATTCACATTTGTTTGGGTTTCAGGGAGTGGAGGAGTTCTTCCAAAAGACTGTGGAGGACCTAAAGCACATAAAGGACAACATCCCTCCTCACATCCCCCGGAGGAACGGCCCAGTGAAGTATTTATTTCCCCTGTTATTATTCTCACACTTACACTTTTGAAACCTCTCTGATGATGAGTCTTTTTAACCATTGCTAGTCTTTTTTTATTTAAAAGAGAGCATCAAATTGAGCTCTCCAGAGTTTAGCTTACTTAGCATGAACCAGAACTTCAGTTATACTGTATTACAACCTACTACACATGTTAAACTCTTCTTATGTGCTAAGAGTCTGAATGGTCTTTAATCTTTCAGTGGGAATGAACCTACCAGAAGCCAGTCTGAAGCAGCCGATCCTCAGCCAGCTCAGAAAGAAAATGTAAAGAAGAGCAGCAGGAACTTTGTGAAACAGATGGAGTTCCTCACCATGCCTGAGTTCGAGAGCATCCCTCAGTGAGTAAAACACACTCGGACATAGTGGAAAGTGGGTAGAAATGTGTTTCTGTGCACGTGATACGTATAAATATTTCTGTTTCTGCATTTAACAGAGGCTTAAATCCAAAACGACTTATAGCATGTAGATACAG